TGCCAGAGTGAGAACAGCTGATGGAGAGAAGTTGAGACTATTCCAAAGACTTAATCTGTTAGAAATCCACAGTTCCGAAAAGCTACCATTCATTGCCCAAGATAGTCGAAGGGATGAAAGTGCCTCTACGAAGATGCCTCTACACCTCGCAGCTAATGATTCAGATTCCAGTGAAGATGACGATTCATCACCCAAAGTCCCAGATTTTGTTACTAGAGCTGGTTGATGTGCTAAAATTCCCAATAGACTTGATTCATAACTTTTCGCATTTTATAGGTATCCTACAAATTGCAAGGTGGGAGGTTGTTTGAGTAATACCAGCTACAACTCAGCTCTGTTTATGTTTTATGTTTTAAAAATAAGCTCTATCGTTGTTTGTAAGTATAACTGCTTTTAAATCTTGTAAATATTTGCAATTAAAGTGTTTTCACATATTAAATCCATAGTTATTTTTGAATCCTTTAAAAATGTGCTATCACATGATGAATAACTTTGGCAAACCAAAATTTGCAGAGGCACAACACTTCTCACTGTATCCCACACTTATGCTAATTTTCATATTTTTGTGACTTCCATTTTGAGGTTGCTATCACTGCTATAGCCATCCATACTTAGCAATTGTCCACCCGTTCACAAGGCATCCCCCTAACTATGCAGTATCATGGTAACCGCAGATCCGGCCCACCAGCGGCCGAGCGGTAAAATCGCTGAACACTGGTAGTTCGGTCCGAGGTTCGAATCCCGCGAATGGTCTGGCTGCATGGATGTTTTCGTGGTTTTCCTCATGTGTAACGTGTATACGAGCCAGTTACGAGTCCTCCACGAAGGCATCCTTCCCCTTTGGCAGATAGCTCTCGAGGCTTGCTATAATTAAATAACCTAACCTAAGGTTACCGCGATCCCGATCTCAGTCTGATGAATTTCTGGTTCTGAGTTATCTGAAATCTAAGGTGTACACTTCAAATCCAAAAGATTTGTCAGAATTAAAAGATGCCATAAAATGTGAAGTTGTACAGATTCCTCCTAAATATTACATTCATCAAGATTAGTCAGAACTAAATATGCCATAAAGCATGAAGAGTGATTCTATACTAATTCCTCTTGCAATGTTACATTCGTCCCATTGACAACAGTCTCCTGCATGCAATACCTTACATGGGCAAGTTGAAAACTTTAATTCCAATAAATGTTTCATCACTCTCCTCGTATTGTGATTGTTATTTTGCAATTTTACAAATGTTTTTACACCAAATGATGAAAAAACTTTTTTTTTTTTTTTTTTTTTTGGTATTATGCATGTGGTTCCAATGCAGTTTAAGGTTTTTCAATGTGCTGATCAATTTGTGCATGAAAAAAGTGAGTGTTGAAATTAAAAATATTTTGAAATATTTCCACTTTGACCGTAACTGTGAGAACTCTATTGTTTTAAATCATCACAATCTTGTGCATATACTTAATATTTGAAATATATATTTGAAATGTCATTTTAATTGAATGAGAAGTTAGGCTGCTAGAGTTTGCTATAGCGAAGAATTTTTTTGATATATACTCTGTATAGATAAATCTAGTCATCTCTTTAACAGGAGAAGCAGAAGTTTCCACTCAGTGATAAGAATACTGAGCTGATGATGCTTAAAATGAATTTAATTTGGTAACCAGGATCTTGATGTAGAATGAAACAATCAATACACTGCATGGAAAGGACTACTGCAGCTTTTTAATCTCAAAGAGTGATTCTAGCCAAAAAAAAAAAAAAAAGTAAAAATGCACTTAATGAACATGGTAGGATAATCAAAAGATTGGAAGTGGCAGAAATCAAAGACAAGTAACCCAGAAGCTCAATATTCTATAAACATTAACAGGAAAGATGCATATTTCCAGCTTGGCTTTGCGGGCAATTCCAAACTGGTCAAGACGTTCAAAGGCGATATAGTGAAGATTGTCTACATATCACAGAAAACAGGAAAGATGCATATTTGATACCTGACAGTATACAAGTGACATAAAATATTCTCTTTAGGGACTCTTACTCAGCATCTAAGCTTATAGCATCATAACAAATTAAATTGTTTGCATAACATTGATATGCACAATGATCTGATAGATACATCCCACCACAGAGACATTCTTAATAACTTAGTGCACCAACAATCACAAGTGGATTTTATAAGAATGAACCTTTGTGTTTATTATACATACAAAAACCTACAAAATGATTCACAATATGTACACAATGATTTGACAAGTGGCCCAGTGACACATTTCATACTGAGATAAGAAAACACTATTTTATGTTTTTAGATAAACATTTCTCTTTAAATACAACAAGCCAGCCTATAATAAGCATTACATATAAAAATTTTCAAATGTAATAAAACACTGTTTAAATTAAAGAATACTGCAGATGTATGTAGACAATTTGTAAGTCCAAAGCATAGATGTCCAGTAACCAGAATGATTCATTATCTGGACCTCCCATATATATATATATATATATATATATTTTCATCTTTCCTTTTACATTATCCTGTAAATTGTTTTGGCTTTAAACATTTGCTGGCTAGCAAGCAGATCACATTTCCATTTTTGGCTCTGGAACTGCTTTGAAGGTAGAATTTTATTATCTTATCTAGTCCTGTACATAGTAAGTGAACCTCGAAGACTAATGTTTGTTTGGAATGGAATGTTCAAGATACTGATTTTTTATTTTTATTTTTTCCCCTTTGCAGGCAAGAAAGCTGTAATGAGAATATCCCCATCATCAGCCAACAGTTGAAAGAACATGTATTATGGTTTAAATCCAGAAAATATCACCAAAAAGAGTGAAAAAAAACAGTAAAAAGTTAATAAGAATGAAAAGATTTCAACTGATTATTTAATAGGAATTCTCAACTTGAATGAACAGTAGAGCTTTATAACAGTGAAGAAATTGTGTCCTAGTACATAAAATTAAAACGAAAGCATCAACACATGAAAGGAAACTGCTTAAACAACTTAAATTGAAAAATTTTTTTAATGAAACAAAACAAATTCTCACATTCAGTTTTTTAGGGGAGGAGGTAAATTGTATTTCTTTGGGATCATTAAATGTTTCACCATTTCATATTTGTATTTTAAATTTAATCTTACTAGATTTAATTTGATGAGCATGGTATTTGCAAAGCAAAGACTTTAACATTCTAAAGCTCATTAAAGCTCCTTAGTTAGCTAAATGACCACTGCGAAAATGGCAAAAGATGCCTGGCAAATAAAGACTGCATTTTTCTGCTAGTTTTAAACTAAACATTATTGCTTTTCATAAGCAATACTCTGAAGGAACTGAAAATAATATTACATATAAAGCAGAGGGGCAGAATGGAGGATGGGAGAGATGTAGAAATTAATGGCAGAATGGAGGATTATGACATTCACTCGTTGTTGCCTCTTCACAGAGTGCTTTCAAAGAATTTCATGAAAATTCCTGACTGGATACTGATATTAAGAAATTTGATTAACCCTTTGCGGCGCACTATATGTTAACGTCGGAATTTCAACAAAAAAAGTTGTATGCAATCTATTTAGTCCTAAAGGAGTATACAGGTAAAATTTTGTAAAAGATGCACTTACCGTTTTAATTCTGTAGGTGTTCCATGAGGTGTAACACTGCGCCGCCAGAGCTTTTAAAAGTGCGACTAAGCAGGCATTGCAGTGAAGCACGAAAATGAGTAGAAGCGTTTGTATAAGAATGAAAAAACTCTGTATTATGGCTGTATACATGGTTTCCTGGATATGCACGATATTCTTGAATATATACGGATAAATGAGATAAATATCTATAAACACAAGTCCTTTACACAAAAATATTTACAAATTTTCGGAAAGAGCGCTTCAGAAAGAGTTAGATCTCTCCGCGCCATTTATGGAAAATTAATAATAAAAAAATTAACTACGATTAATATTAACAATAAAGAAAAATAAGCCTATGATATATACATACACGAAAAGTACACACACAATTATTGAAAATAAACAGCAATGAGACTAAAAAGCGACAGCAAAAAATTCGCTCAGGTCTAAGAAAAGATGATGAGTCAAGCTACGAACAAAATTCCCGCCTAAAAACTAGTCCCAGAAAATTCAAGATGCCAATATTAGGACTTTCATAACACAAAACAGACCTCACCCCTCAATACTGCTTTGTTTGAATTCATTTCCCTCCCAAAGCAACGGAAACAGAAGACGTAAACAACGGATGTTCTCTCCTAAGCAGAGATGTTCTGATTCGTAACAGCATGAGATTGCTAAAGGCGCAGTGTTCCCGCTAATGGAACACCAGGGTTATTCAATGATTCTGCGTATGGTTTTTGTTTGAAAGATTAAAAAAATATAGAACAGATAATTTGGAGTACAGCCAGCAAAATTAGGCCTATTTTTTTTTCCAAATAAAATTTTTTATATCATTAAAAAAATAGAGAAAATTACTTGAAAAAAGTGGATTTTAATACCACATAATAAATGAAAATTCTGTGTCTCCTTGTGATATGCTGCTATCTACTGTTTAAAAAGAAAAGTTCAAAGTATATTATTAAGGCATTTTTATCTATTTACGGTTGAATTTAAAGGTTTCAGAAGCGATTCAATTTGGGTGTTCCATGTAGTGGAACACTGAGCCGCAAAGGGTTAATGTATACTTTGATCAAATAAAATTGAAAAAAATTTTTTACAATTATTTAACCCTCAAGATGCTTTTTCTTATTGAATTATTTGTAAATCATCATAACCTTGAGAAGTAAATTATCTGTTAAAATTTATTGACTTATACCTGGAAGCACATGATAATTGTCAAAATAATTCATTAACTTAAGTCAAGAAGAGCATTTGCGGTAGTATGCTGGCTCCAAAAGTATGTCTATTAGCATCATCATAAGATCAGAAAATAACAATTTACTTTGAAAAAATCATGAACCTCTAATAGGTAGGTAATCTGAAATGGACAATAAAAGAATGCCCAAAGTACTTACGAAATCCTTTTCCTGAGCATGAGCACTAATAACAATATTATCTTCTTTACCACTTCCATGCTTCAAGGTAGCAGCAAACATGCCCCTAGGACTCTCATTAACAGGCCTAGACTATACACAAAACACACACACACAAAAAAAAATTTTTAATTTTAAGAAAATACTCTCATTTAAATATATAATGCAACTGATAAGGAAGATATTTCAAACTTTACTATTCAGTGCTTCTTAAAAAAAGGGGGAAAAGTTTGTTAATATATAAATCCCTAGCAATAAATAAATAAAAATTAGCTGCTGAATTGCAGCAAATAAAGTTTAAAAATGGAAAAAAAATAAAATATTTCAAGCTGGCCATTTCACAAACGTCCAGACAGATTCTCAGGGCAAAAACGTAAAATAAAAAATACACAGATGCATGATAGATAGAGAATTTTATTAAAGATACACCTATTCATTTTTGAATTTTATTTACTCTCTTTTGAATTTTATTTACTCTCTTTGTTTTTTATGGGCAGTCATTATTTTCAATTGAGGCTTGCTCACATTTTTACCAAAGTTCATGCAAAAAGATATACATTCTACTCGTAACGTAGCATATGTTAATAAACCCATTATTAGGATTTTTTTATAAGTTACTTTCCATATTTCTCATCAGAATGCAAATTAGCATTGTGTGTATTTAAGCTCAAGGCTTTGAAACTTTAGATAAAGGCTTGGCAATCGCATCTTACTGTTAGTATGTTTTGCTAGATTTGCTTAAAAGTGGTATTCTGGCCTGAACACTCGCACTAGAGAATGTTTTAAATACACATGGGTAAAATATTTCAGCCAGTTTATTTCTATCAATTTAATGTGGGGTTTTAGACTATGTTATCAAATGTTTAATTTGAATTGTCTATTATGTTAATTTAAAGATTCACATGTGGTAAAAATTTCATTTATAGCACAAGTTGTGTCTATTCATTTACGTTAAGTATGTGGTGTATTTAATTATGGCAAAGCACACTAGGGCTATCTGCCTAAGGGGAGGGATGCCTTTGTGGAGGACTTTCTAAGGGAAACTGGCTCGTATACATGTTACACATGGGGAAAACCACGAAAACACCCATGCAGCCAGCCCGTTCGCAGGATTTGAACCTCGGACCAAACTACCAGTGTTCAGCGACTTTACCGCTCGGCCGCTGGTGGGCCCATTTACGTTAAGATAAAGTTAAAAAGGTTATTTTAACCTTCTTATGTATTCTGTGAGCTATTTAAGATGCAGGGATAACTCACTATTTATCTAGTAAGATCAGCAGGACTTCAACTTCCAGTTATAAAAGCAGCCCTACATAACATTATCTTGTGAAAAGATAAACAGATAAGAAGCAAAATTTTAAAAATATGACCCCAATGCAGGTATTCTGGAAATCACCTAGTAGATGCTTAATATTAAAGTCATGTCCATGCAACATGTGTTATGTGAAAATCGAATACTGATTTCAGATTCAGGGTCTATATGAGGAGCAACTAAAATTATCAAAGCTTTAATTCACTTTACACCAGTCATGTTTGCCAAACAGAATGAAAATGGAAATTCAGGAATTGTAACAACACTATGTATCCGACTGTTTGCAAGCAGACTATATAATAAGTAATCACTAATAAACATAAAAGATATCAAAACAGACACTGCAAAGTTTGCAAAACATATAAGAAATATTTTTCTGCAAAAAGGAGCAGCCATCAAAAGTAAAGCAATATTGAAAATGCACCAAATATTGTCAGAAAGTGTCCTCTGGTGATCAAAAATTAACATATTAATTTTGTCCTTAGATTACCTGTAAGAATCTAGCAGCTAGTTTTGAATACCATCATTCATTCTGAATGTATGCATGGAATAAGCCATGTTTTCACTTAAATCAGATATCTAAAGTTGATAGACCTTCATGACAGCTATCATCAAAAAGTATAAACAGTCAAAAACAATAGTTTCATATTAAATTAAAAATACATAAATTAACTAGTCAAACTGTCAAAAACAATAAATTTCAAATAAAATTTAGAATATATAAATTAGCAAATTGCTGCAAAAGCATGTTCTTGGTAGTCAATTTAAGTACAGAGACTTTTTTTTAAACCATATATATGAATATTTATTTTCAATTCAGCAGTTAAAGAAACTGAGCCTTCTTTCTTCATGCTTATTACCAGGTCATAATCAAATATCCTAACCAAGATTATGAACTCGCTGCTTTTTTTTAATGCATTAAAAACAGCAATGGGTTAAAATTAAATTAAAACAAAGTAATTAAAAAACATGTTAATAACAGACAAAAACTAAATGAAATTAAAAAGTCACTGTGATTTTCCGAGTATCAATTCAGGGCATGTGATACTGCTGTTCCTTCTCTTCTTATTAAGATGCTGTGCCATAACTAGGCAGATGCAACAGGTACACACCCATAGGCCCCTCTTCGAAAAGAGGGATCCAAAATACTGTTCATAAAAAATTTATATTTTTTAATTTTAAATATTTTGACTTTCTACTCACAATTTGGCGATTAGACTTTACCTTACTTGGGTTCTACATGTCTCTGCTCACCAACACGACCATTCGAATAAATGAAAGAACTGATATTTTCAACTTGCCTAACTTACGCTACAAAGTGAATACAGCAACATAGGCACTATTACTGTGTTTTGCGTTTGTGTTTTGCCAGGTAAGAATGCAAATAATATTAAAATTACTTGAATGCAATATTTCAAGGATTTCATTAAGAGATACGTGATGAATGTGCTTGAATAAACCTGTCCGTTCTGTTATGCTGGACTTTTTTTATTTCTAGTGTTATGGTTTTGGTTATGGATATGGTTTTGGTTATGGCTGGTTATGGTTATGGTTTCTAGTTTTATTTCTAGTGTTATGTACTTGTAGACTATTTTGATTAACACTTTTTAATGTACACTGCGAAAAATAAATTGGGGACATTTCTATATCTCCCGTTTTAATGGGCCGATTGACAAAATTCAAATTGCATTTTTCATGTCTCAAAAGCGTGACTTTGCATATAGATTAATATATAGCACTATTCTAACATAGATACTTTGACACAAAAATCAGACTTTTTCTGAAATACCACACCAAATGTTTTACCTATTTCGATTCTACGACTCAAATTATGCCAGACCGCCAAATTTGGTAAAAATCGAACAAGTAGTTTTTAAAAAATTAGCTCTCAAAGTTTTAGCTCCTCCATGTTAATTGAGTTTGCCATATCTCTTTTTTTATTAAACTTTTTTGATTTTTCCTTTCACACTTTTAAGTTTAGGTTCATTCCAAATAAAATTCACCCATTTTTTTTTTTTTTTTTTTGTGTGTGTGTGTGTTTTAGTTTTAAAATTTCTATTTTAAAATAATTTTTATTAATTTTTTGAAAAAATGTTGTATTACAACCTATACAAATTTTACCATCATCTTAAAGTAGGTGTAGTTCTAAGTATACCTGCAAAAAAATAGTTTTTTATTCAAAATTTTCTAAGATATACACAAATTTACATGTTTTGAAATTTGGCACCTTTTCCTAGAGGGATAATAATGCCAAATGTTGTTTATGAATTTTGTTATGGTGAATTGCCACAGCTATTTTTAACCTTAAACTTCAAATAAATTTTTATGGAGAATTAATTATATGACATTTTTTCTCTGAATGATGTGTAATAAATATTTATTGATACTATATGAAAAGCTACTTTTTAAAATTATACATGATATTACTCAAATTTGTAATTTTTTTTTTTTTTTTTTTAAATTTCTTTGTTTCTTCCTTTTTTTTTCTTTAAATATTTGTAAGAATAAATTTTTACCTTCGCCGTGTTATTGTCTGCTACTTTACTTTAGCTACATTAAAATTGAATTGTCTAAAACTGAGAATGTTCGTTTGATGCTTATTTTCACAATGTTTTTAAGCAAACAGAACGTTGACAGTTTGGGTCATGTCCCAGCTTTGAAATATATATATATAAAAAAATATAAATTTTTACATTAATCATTTTAGAAAAAATGTTTTAAGTAGTAATTTTCTCTCGTGTGGTAGATTATAAAAAACATCTTCTTTATTATATAACTTATTAGGCTTAAAAACTCTAAATAATATGATTTAGACTGTTTGCGACAGCTATAAGAATCGGGTTACTTGGCGGTATAAGATAAGTGCTGCTGGAGTGCTTTATTTCTTTTTCATTTAAAAAAAAATCTCTAAATTCAAATATTTATCCTTTGGACTTTGCTTTAAACTGTATTCATAGTTAAAATGTTTAGAAAATGAAAAGCTGTTCTCAGCTGAAATGCATTTCCTGCAACTGATATTTTAAAAAATTTGACAAGAATGCAAAATCTATGGAAGAATAACAATCGAAAAATCTTAATTTTCTTGTGTCAGCACTAAAAACAAATATAGAAGGAAAGAAGAAAATTGGGGGGGAACAAAAATTTAAAGGCGAATCAACTTCAAGGTAGTTGGTATTAATAAAAAACACTTGTGTGTACACCAGCTATTAGCAGCAATTGAGTTTGTGCTAACAGAAAAGATAAAAACGATATCACTGTAGATTAAAGTGATGAGCAACTGGCTTTCAACCGTATGGTTGTATAAATTTAAATTACTTCATAGTACATCATATCGCATCACAAATGGAGCATCCCATGATTTCGCAGTCGAATTATTTGAAGATTCAGGAATTTATCCAGTGATGTATATGGAATATCATCTAAAGATGTTTTCCCTCTTGATGAAAGTCTTTCCTTTCATCTAATGCCTTCAAAATGTCTAGCCTCTAAAAACTGATAAAGGGTCTGACCAAATACTGATGAAATGGATTGAATAGGATTATTAAGTTATGGCAAAGCAGGGCTATCTGCCTACAGGAAGGATGCCTTCATGAAGGACTTTCTAAGCGAAACCAGCTTGTATACACATTATACATGAGAGAAACTATGAAAACACCAATGCCACCAGCCCGTTTGCCGGGACTCAAATTCCGGAGTGACCTACCAGTATTCAGTGACTTTACTGCTCAGCCATTAGTGGGCCCTTTTGAAATGGAAGGCAATAACTTTATTTAAAATTAAT